GGATGTTTTATTAATTGTATTTATATAAAAAAAAAACTAGCTGTACCCGCGGGCTTTGCCCCGTTTTACTTCGTAAGTGAGCTCGCTCGCATGGCTCAATCACGTCCTGGTTGAAGTTCGTTCGTTAAGCTCACTCACCTTTAGGTTGGAGCTAGTTCGCTGCGCTCACTTGCCTTCAGGTTAGCTCGTTCGCTACGCTAACTCGCCTCCAGGTTGAAGTTCGTTCGCTACGCTCACTCACCTTTTGGTTGCAAATTAGCTGTTGTCATATTTAAAAAAAAAATAATAGTGCTGAACCCTGTTGGTAATCCTTGTAACTTTAATGCTATTGAACATCATAGAACAGAACCAACTTGTTTCATTGAAACAGCTGTTAAGATTCATTAATTCCATTTAAATATGAGTACTCATAAGGTTAACATGGGAAACTCCAGAGCCACTGGGGCGGAGCCCGAGAGTCCGATCAGAATAAAAACAACTTAGTTTTCCTATTTAGTGTCTAAAGAATCAGTGTACCAAATGTCAGCTTCCTAGGTAAATGGGAAGTGGGAGAATTAGTGATGAGTGAGTGAGTGAGTGAGTGAGTCAGTCAGTGAGGGCTTTGCCTTTTATATATATAGATTAGATTCAACAGGTACCTAGGTTTGCTGCTACAGGTAGGTTATTATAGTGTGTTTTTTTTTTTGTAAAATATCAATAACTTAGTATAAAATAATTAATTTTCCAAGTTTGATCATAATAAATCTATAAACAAACAAACTGCAACAGTTAACTAATTCATAATAATAGTATGGTAGCTTAAGATTTACAATTTACAAATTTAAATATACAAATTTTGGTTGTGTATACTAAAAATATGGTGATTATTCGTCACGATTCGAATACTAACCGAAGGGGTTTTCAAAAGGAGATGAAGCAAGTAATTTAAGTACTGTAATATTAACTCGTACCAAGTATCGGAAATATTGTATGCAGTGAGGAAATCAACCATATTTTGTAAACTACGCAATAGTCATATTAAAATTTTATACTCATTTTTACCCATTTAATAAATTAACATTTTAATATTTTGATGGCACTACCACTATCACTCTGATATCAACTAAGTGGGATGAATAATTGTCGTAAACCTTGAAAGTAACCGTCGATTGCGATGGGTTTCACCGATTTTTCATAAATAAAACTAACTATACTATACCATACTTAATTAGACACCAACATGAACTAGACACGAAAAACTCCCTTCCAAATTTACAATGGGATGTCAAGTATAATTAGTTAGTGTGGTGGTGCCATCAAAATACTAAAATGTTAACTATTAAATGGGTAAAAAATGAAGATAAAATATCAATATGACTATTGCGTACTTTACAAAATATGGTAGATTACCTTACTGCATACAATATTTTTGGTGCTTGGTACGAATTAATATTACTTAAATAACAGGCCATCTCCTTTTGAAAACCCATTTGGTTAATATTCTAATCATGACGAATAATCGCCATCTTTTTAGTAAACACAACCAAAATTTGTATATTCAAATTTGTTTATTGTAAATTTAAAACTCCCATGCTATTCTTATGAATTAGTTAACTGTTGCAGTTTGCTTGTTTATAGATATATTTTGATCAAACTTGGAAAATTAGTTATTTTATAGTAAGGTATTGATATTTTACTTAAAAAAAAACACACTATAATAACCTACGTGTAGCAGCAAACCTAGGTACCTGTTGAACCTAATTTTATTTATATACATTTTTTAATAAAACATCCAATCAAATGGAAATTTGCTGAGTCTGCAGGTTTACTGTGGCGGAGTTGTTTTAATCATAAAATAAGTTTAAATTTTTAGATTTTATAGTATCACACTATTTAACTAAATAGGTTAAATTATCATAATCCTTGAAAGTAACTGTCAATTTCCATGTGTTTCACCTATTTTTGATAAATAGAAAAAACTAAATATACTTAATAACAAATAACTCAAAAACCGTTGGGTTTAGAGAAAGATGGTAAATACAAAAAATGTGTATTTTTAGATGACCTACATTTTGTACATTTAGCTTTTTCCTGTATCTCTAATAATAAAGTCACTATAGCGAAAAATACAGAAATATGCCGCCATTTTCCAATATGGCGGCCGTAGCACAGCTTCAATTTTAGGGGACTTTTAGTATGTTCAAAAGGAAGGTACACCCAACATCTGTACCAAATTCCCCGGTTGTGCTAATTTTTTTTGGGTCAAAACATATTTTTACTGTACGCCTCCCTGATCCAGACTAGGTCTACCCATGTCTATTGGTGGATTATGCGGTTTCCTAAAAAAGTACGCGATGACACGTAGTTAGATTTAGGCTTAAGAACAAACTTTTTAACAAGAGTACCCTCGGGCCAGAAAGAGTCAGTCAATAGTTTAGGTGCTAGAACAGAGGAGACACCAATTTTGAAAGATTTGTAGAAATCCTGCCTAGGTGTCAAAGCAACGCACTCACCTTTTATATTTGATTTACCAAGATAGTTACAAATGTCCTCTTTAGTGCAGCTTTTGTCGAGTCTAGAGACAAAAACCCAGGTTAACTTCCCAATAGCACGCACTTTACTATCATCAGAGTCAGAGTTAATTTTTGTACCAATTATAGGTTTTACTTCCTTCTTTCCGCGATTACGGTGGCTTTTACGCGAGAAAGTTTGCCAATTGTTCACACTACCGTTCACGACCTCGGTGATTGGAACGTTATTTTCTAGGTTAGGAGAGACGGCAGGGGTTTCGACTTCTAGAATCGAATCGTCTGTTGAGGTTGTAGATTTAGATTCCGATTCCGACTGAGGAATCGGTTTCACTATTCGACTGTAAGGTACCGCCGGTGTCAAAGCCTGCTGGTCCTTTTTTTTACCTTGTCGGCTGCTAGCAGTAGTACGAGTACACAGTTTCTCACTTGACCCCTCTTCCTGCTTACCACGTTTGAATAATTGATTAAAATTATCAATAGAGTCATTAAAAACGTCCATACGCTTGTTTAGCAAACAATTGTCATTTATAATTCCTTTGACCAGGTTTACAAGTCCGTCAACAATACCTCTCAAATCAATTAGGTCCTCAACGTCACCGACTCTGTTGACCAATCTGTCCAGGCTAACCTCACATTTTGGGCAGAACCTCTTCACATGACTTGAAAGAGAATTAATCTGGGTGTAGTCATCAGAACTTAAGTTAACACAAGTTGGATGAAACCATTTCTTACAAAAACCGTCACAAAATAGGCCGTCACCATCCGCAGGAATAATAATTTTACATATTTCACACCATGCTCCATTTTCGTCAGACTCATTCGCATGACTACCGGAAGCGAAAAAAAAGGGGGAGTCAGGCCGGGCTTTATGAGGATTCGTGACTACATTTAGTCTTTGAAGGTAGGGTAGGTAAGTTAAAGTGTAGGTTATAGGCGATCGGTGTTTTTATTAATGTTACACCCATATTGCTTTTTTATCTTTTGGAATAGTTGATTAAATGGGGAGATAATTGAAGGAACGAAACTGCCACAATTGCTCACATTAGTCCTGCTCCTATGGGGCCAAGACTGAACGTGTTTAAGTATATTGAATCCATGACTATAAGGGAAACCTGCTCACCGCTGGCAATGTCCAAACAGTTATCTTCCCTCAACTTGGCCTTTGCCACTCCAAACTTAAGTAAAGTTTTACCCGAGTTTATCATCATCTCGCTATAGACATCCCAGAAACAAAAGAACCCTGGGCCATTTCGAGCCGCGCAGATTTGAAGGGTACGCCCACGGCACAACTACCGGCGCGAACCACGTGATCTTTTCGTTTCTGCGCAGGTTGTTTTGTCCTCGGGATGTCTATAAGGTTATAGGTTATAGGTTCGTCTCTCCTGAAGTCTCGTATAAAAGCAACTCCTATACTCCCTTTGTTGCTTCCCAAGGTGTGGCTAATATGTCCCATCCTCGACCGACGAAGATATGACCGTCACTTCCGATCACAAAGTTGTAAGCAATATCTGCAAGATTTTTCACGCTGACATCCTTCATGTGTGATTGTTGTGTTGATGACATTACGAGTTTACAGGATGTGAAATTGTTACATGCTTGCTGGGTGGATGAACATATCGATTGTTGTTGTTGTGTGATGAGAAAGATTGTGTTGTTCAACAGCTGTTCACAGGGAGGGGTGGCTCCCCATGCTCCTCTCGTGACAAACCTCTTGTCCACCTCTAGTAAAATATTAATAGCTTGGTATAAAATAATAAAAAAATTCAAAGTTTGATCAAAATATATCCATAAACAAGCAAACTACAACATTTTACAATATTCTCCGTAAGAATAACATGGAAATTTTAAGTTTACATTTTTTTAAATTTTCTTCGTTACCAATAATTATTCAAAACACTTTAATATAACTTACTAAATTATTTGTTTTTTAAGATCTTTAAACAGGTCTAGAGAGAAATTGGGAAATTTGTGTTTTGAGGGTAAAAAAATAGAAAACCCAATTTTTACCCCATAAAACTCCCCATAACTCCCCGTTCCCATGGTCCGATCATGCTGGTTCGCGAACTCATTCAAGTTTATCCCGCCTTGCACCTTTGAACTAAATTGAATCAAAATCAGATAACTTTTTTGTTTGCGGACACATAACATATATAAAATTTCAACTAATAGTGGTTTAGGCCTCTGGGGACATCACAATGAAAAAGTAAATCGGTTCCGGGTCTAGGTCTTACTGTGCCACCTACGGTAATAGCTACTTCCCTATAGGGAAATTCGCTAAAACAGACCAAAAGAACAATTATTTTAAGTTCATAACTACCTATCTACACTAAGATGTTTAAAATAGCTGTTTCTACATTCATACAAATTTAGGTTGTTTGTTAGTATTTGTGGAATGTATTGAAACTAGGTGATTTACCATTAGGCCACTTTGTATAGTGTCTTTACATTTCACATTTAGGATTTTAGCAGGTAAAAATAAAATAGAAAATTCACATGTACACTTTAATTACAAAAATTATAACGAAAGAACACGTATACATTGAAGTATAATAGTAGACCTATATTTATTTTAAATATTTATAAAAATGACATAATAGTTTCTTGAACACTAGAATTTCAATTAATTCTATGTATATCTTAAAGTTAATACCAAACTTCTTTTTAAAAGTCTAGATAAATTTAATTACAATAACTTTAAAACTCAAACAGTCTTTTCTGCCTTCTAAAGCATAGGTACCCATTATCATTTAGACTAGATTCAACATTTACTACAAAGTCAATGAACCAAGGAAATGGCAAAGGGTCACTTCCAAAACATTATTGAAATGAATGAATAATAAGTTTGAAAAACTTAAGCCATAGTTATTTGAGATTAAAAATGGCTTGAGTGGGGAAGACATATAGGACACTGTATGAGAAAACTAAAAAACTGGAATATATACACGCATGTACATCATGTATACACAAAATGGATGCCTAGGGTAAAATGCTACATAGTGGTTAATGCAGGTAGTGGTAATATGATATTTAAAAATATTGATATGACAGAGAGAGATTGAGCGAAGTGTTAAAACAAATTATACAAGTGGAAGTCTATGTTGTATAGAAATACTGAAAGGAAGGTGAAGTGTATAGTTGAGATGGAGTTTAAAGGAAAGAATTATGTAAAGTGTGTACACCGGACAAAATGTATAATATCAAAGGCTAAGTGACGACATAATGAGGTAAACAATAAGTAACTAGGAGACAAAACAACTAATTTTGTCAGAATCTGTTTGAAACCTACCTTTTAAATAGGTAGTTTAAGATAGCTATTTCGTTTGATTTATTTTTCAAAAAGGGAATATGACATTTAGGGTAGATTTTGAAGCGGCCAACAGAATTTGACCACACGTTCATTCTCAATTACACCTTTGGATTTTTCCACAACTACCCAAATACACATGTACATTTTTCACCCCTCGGTACACTTGACAGGTAGTGAAGTGTTGAAATGGGGCCATGACATCATAACATTCACCAATGATAGACCTGGCGCTGCCGTCACCTTCAACTGACACTGGGCCACCAGGGAATAGGCAGAAGATATTTTACCACTCTCTACACCTATCTTCAACAACTTCGTGAATGAGTCTATTTGTAGATCGTTGGGAACAACGTTGATATACGTTCCTAGGAAGGCGATACCAATACTCCCTTTGTTGAACCCCTTAGTGTGAGCTCCTTCGAAGTTGAACCCTCTGCCCCAGTAGACCGACCCGTCGCCGCCGATGAGGAAACTGTAGGAGATTTCGGACCATCCTCTGGACACCTGTTGAAACTGTTGGACTGCCCGAACGATTTCTATACACTCAGGCTGGGAAGTACAGTTGGCTGTGGCAGTGTGACAGACGACCACTGTAGTAGCTGGGAGAGAGTTCTTGTCCAAAGGTGCTCTAGGTGGCGCCGCTAGCCACATGGACCTGGTGACGATGGGAGGACCTCCCGGATAGGATGCGACTGGAACAGAATAGTTTGGTTAGGTTGACAATGTTAATTCAAGTTATTGCGGTTGACAAGCAGTAGTTGCTGTTTCACAACTGTTATTCTTGCGTGAATAACTTCAATAAATAAACATGGGCATAGCCTCTGAAGATAGAAATGACTGTGGCTGGTTGAAAAGTCAAAAACTATTAGGAGTCAGAACTGTGGCGGATAGTTTGAGACGAAAATAGAAATTGAGCTATTAAATGTGAATGTTAGATGATATTAAACAGACCAGTATGGATTTGTTGTGGTGCAATTTTGCAGCTCATAGGTTATAGTGCTTGTATAACTATCAGAAGGTAAAAGTGCGATCCTGTGACAAGTTTTTTGATGGTGCGAAACGTAGCAAACTGTCCTAAATCTTGGGCGTTTGGCAAATAATCAAGACTAGAGATAGTCGTTCTTGAAGGCTAGTCTCATGTGTTGGATTTATTTTGCATTTGGTTTTGAGTTTCAAACCTATTAAAGCAATAAGTGAAATCAACTTAAAAAAAGTTTTTCATTTTCTGGGACGGAATGTATTCTAGTGGTGTAGAAGTAGAATTTTAATGGAAGTCTTAGTTAAGAAACAAACTACAACTTGACATGTTGCATTTTTAAAATCCAATAACTTTCATTATTTATGTTTACACAGAAGAAAACCTTTTGGCGATTAGTGAAACCAACACCTCCAAAATCATACAATCAACCCCAAACTATCCCAAACCACAGTTTTTTACGATACCGAGATGCCAATTTTAGAGAGGTTTTTGTTACAAACCTTTGAAACCTTTTGTATAGGTGATAAGTAATGAGGCATTTTGTTCATCCAAGCAATGTTTGAAGAAAAATATCAAACACTTGACATCATAGTTTGCTCAAGAGATTTTTCACCCATTAATGCGCAGCGCTCATACAATCAACCCCAAACTATCCCAAACCACAGGTTTTTTACGATACCGAGATGCCAATTTTAGAGAGGTTTTTGTTACAAACCTTTGAAACCTTTTGTATAGGTGATAAGTAATGAGGCATTTTGTTCATCCAAGCAATGTTTGAAGAAAAATATCAAACACTTTACATAATTGTTTGCTAAAGAGATTTTTCACCCATTAATGCGCAGCGCTCAGCATGTATAAGTAGTCGCCCCAGTCGCCATTTTGTTTCACTAATGGTGTTCATTTACTTTACCTAAAAGTACGTTTACCTTTGTTGTCCTATTAGAAATTGTTTTAGTTTTGACATTATTGATAAATAGAAGGTTTAACTTAGATCCTAATCACAGTCTGCAATATAACGCCATCAAGAGTGTTTATTCTACTATTTATTTAGTGACTGTAGTTTAAAAATTTAAAAACCCCAGCTGCAGCAAACCTACAGAGTAAGTGAATTTTAATCATTCTGTTTAGATTAAATTAAAACATTTCCTTAAGCTTGTAAGATTAATTTCCTACTTAAATTAAATTAGGTTTCACGAGTGGTACTTAAACGAGATATTGTAGCACTTGAAAATCTCAGTAACCGAATGTTGTACATCAATGGAATAAAATACTAAAATGTTTGCTTTTTAATGTCAACACGACGGTTGTAGTAAATATTTAGTGTTTGTATGTTTTAAAGGGACGGTTACAACAAATGTCTACATAAACCTCGTTTGGATAAATTAATTTGCTAGTTCCGAACTCATGAAAGTTGATCCAGCTACAAACGTCATAATCTTTTAAAATTATACCACAATTAATGGATCGAATCACAGCGCTCACGAGCATATATTTACACATGTACAACCTTTGAACTGTTTTTGTTCCCTTGGGACGAAAATTGTTCCTAGAAGAAATTGTACCTCGGTCCCGGGTCTGGGTGTACCATGACACCTATGGTATTATAACCTCTTCCTTATGGGATTAGCTAACACGCAAAATATCTCATAGAGCTTTCTATGAATATGAATAAGCTATAGTATAAAAATATAGATAAATCTCTAAGCTTATAGTATATGAATTAAATATTGCAGCTTGTACAGTAGAAGCTCTATATTAGCTTATCAGCCCAACAATGACTAATCTCATGTTAACGAGGTTTGTGCACGAGTCATAGTTTGTTGACATCACAACAAACCGTATTATTGTGTTGGTAGTTTCGTCACCTGTTTACCTCATTGATGTACAATAACTCCCGTAACTGTAAAGTATTATACATCGATAGTTTACCTTTGACTCTTCGTACTCTTTTACTTTTTGCTGTTTGAAAAATTTGCTTTTCTTCAAAATGTATGGGTTTACGGCACAGAACTACTTGTTTCAAACGTTTCTAATTGTTTTAGAGTAATGCTATTTTCAATTTGAATGATTCAGTTGGTAGTGTGGGCTTCTTATTTAGGTACATAGATGTCTGGTGAGTAGTTTGATTGTAGCAAAATAAAATAATGCAATGAATAATTCTTAAAGTTTTACGTTGTCTTTGTTATTATTTTCCTTTTTTCAATACTTGCGTGTGTTTAACGACATCTTATACGTTTTTGTAAGAGCCCAAACTTTGATCATAATGGATAGCAACGTTTAATCTTTTTAGATGGATTTTGGTACCCCAAAAACAAATGCAATTAGGATCCAAAATTTACCCTTTTGTTGAAACCAGCAATTGTCACATTTGAAGATAATCTCTAGAATCCTTTGCTACCATCTTCTTCTGTATTGTTGTTAAAATCATAATCAGGTAACTACTTTGTCGATCATAGGAATAAAAGCGTAAACAGTACTTGGTGAGTGGGTTGCTCGGTCGGTAGCATCAAGGACTTTGGGCTCAAGGCAGCGACGTCGTGGGTTCAGATCCTGGTACCTACTACTACTTTTATTAGTTAAGTTCGCCTTTGTACTGTACCGGCTCACCCCTTGTTTTACTGGATATGCTCCAGGGACAGGCCTCTGTGCTCATGTGCACGAGCAAATTCAACGCAAAAGAGGTCTCCAACCTATTAAGAAAACCCCTTAATTGACACTATAGAAGCACATGGAGTTCCTCACCTCAACGTACTCAGCGTGTGCACGGATACGGACCCGAGCTTTCATATTGCGGCCATTTCTCGACGTCCCTGAGAAGTTCCAGCCCGACGGTTACTCCAGGCACAAGTTGACACCGAGCCAAGAGGGCGTAGTCCTTAGCTATCAATCCCGACCTCACCCCAGCGTCCACGAATTGTTGAAACACCTCTGTCATCTCCTTGGACGGACCATTCTCGGAAAAATCCCCGATGAGCTCCACTTCCACAGATTGTTTGTTGTCTTTCGTGCTGTTTCCTTGAGTGGCGAACCCTCTGCCCCAGTACAGTTTGCCGTCTCCGCCGATGAGGAAGTTGACGTGGATGTCAGGTTGGCGTAGTTGTTCCACGTCGACCATCTGTATTGTTCTGACCGTCTCTGTGCACTGCGGCGTTGTTCTGCAGGGGTCGGTGTTGGTGGCGCTCACCACTACCCTCTTGATGGGCAAGGGGTTGGGGACGCCCCACTTGCTGGGTTGTGCCACCCATTCTGTCCGTCCCGCCACGGTTGGAGCTCCTCTCACTGCCGCAACTGCAATCGAGAAAACCCTTGTGAGTTGTTGGTGGAATTGACAAATCGAAAGCTTCTCTTTGGATGTGAAAATTGATGTGAAGCCAACGGGATGTATTTGCTCACTCGGTTATCGGAGAGACCAATTAATTGGTTCAATCCTGAGACATTTTTAGATTTCTGTTGGTTAGAAACTGGATTCAGCTCTGTATTTTAGTTTTTTTTTCAGTAAACGCTTCTGACTACAGAGCACATCTCTAGTAAAAAACTACAGATCGTATGACTCCATTCTGAAACCATCCTTCACCCATATTTAGGTGAACACATCGGCGTGACGCAGCCTTATCTATGGTGGAATACCATTTGTAATTATCGAACCTTATATTCTCGAATTATATAAAGTAAGATTGTAATCCATTTTTTTTATCTGGGTAGTTCTGAAACAGAAGACTTCCGGTTCGATCCTGTGATAAGTCGGTATTTGTTACTATTGTGTTTACGGATTTCTAAGACATCATGAGATAAAAGGACCAAAAGGGACCATTATATCCTAATAATCTCAGGGAATAAATAATAAATTGTTTAAATCCTTAATAGTTCCATTCGTAAATAATCTAAACTGAACTTTGAGCTTTTAAAACACTTTTTTTGTTTGAAAATTTACAATATATTAAAATTGACTACAAATAGGTCAATATATAGTACATACTATATAATTGACATTGGAACACCCATAAATTATTCATGAACGTATATCCCGTTTGGGTTTGGCCCACTATTTCCGAGCTAGCATTTTAAAATGTAGATATTCATATTTTATGTATTTATTTACTATATTATTTTCGCATAAATTAATCCTACTACCGTTAACTGTTATCCCAAAAATGCTTTAACTAATTAAAATTGTATTAGTAGCTTTCACACATAAACTTAGATCTACAGTATTATGAAAACTAAACAATGTAATGTGTGATAGATATTAAAATATTGACCTCTTTTGTCAACAAATGATACTCAAAATGTTGAATAGTTTGTTAAAATGTACTAAACAGTTAAACCGTATTTGACTAATTACTCCATAATTTAATATGATTAATATTCATGTTTTAATTCAATGTTCTTGTCATAAAGCTTTACTGCTTTGATACTCGATGCATACTTGACTAACTGTACTGGTTCTTCAAGCTAACAGAAACCGGTATTCAGTATTAGCCTACTAAACACAGTTTGGCCGACTAAATTGAACGGGTGCGGCTGTTAACATAGCAATGTGAAATCTTCAGTATTTTACCTTCCCTGTAAGCTCTCCAACAGTTACAGAAAAAATACCACTATACTCTTCACTTGGTGCAAAAGGTTGTATGGACAATTTATAATCCTTGAGTCTAATTGGTAGATAAGTTTGTTTCGTGCATTTTGTAAAAGTGTGCTCGTTTTATGTTTTTGTATCTCATGTTATTTATTGAACTCTGTAGACGACCATAAAATTAAGTAACACCTGGTTCAAATTAAGAACGGAAACTAGTTGCCACTACAGCATCTATGGATTTTATGCAGGTATTTTAAACTATTTGTGGTAGAGGAGATTGGAGTCACTAGAATGCATGATGAACCTCCTCAATAATTTTTAGAACAAGTAAAAATAATTCCACTATATTCTTGGCACATTGGTGTGGATAGTCACGAAAACAGTTGGACTGACGACCTTGAAATGAATATCATCCTGCTGATTTCCTCATAGAACAGCCAACCCATCGTGTACTAAATCATTAGTCTACGGCCAAATAGTTACTTGCATAATGTGTTTTAAATGTCTGAATAACTACTTTTACCAACTTGAGTGTGAAACTAAGTCCAGAGTCGAAAATACACAGTTAGTTCGTGTGAAGAAGTGTATTTATATCACCATAGTGCACAAGTCATTTGAAAAAGATTAAAAAAATAAAAGGGAATTAGCTATCGAAAGTGCTGTTATTTTATTTTGCTGTTTGTTACCAAGGATCAGCAGACAATTTGTTCGTTTGAATAAAAGCTGAGAACAAGAGGTGAATTTGCCTGCTCAGTAAGTGATTTGACTATGGAATATTTTGCAATTAATTACTCTAAATATACCGGTAAATATTGATGACATTGATATTTACCATTTGTTTTAATTATCCACGACATATTCATATGGAATTTCTAAATGTTAGTACGTTTTGTTATTTTAGGTTTTAAATGTTTGGAAACCGAAAATGTTTCTTCATCAGCAGCATGGATTTAGAATTGGTACATTGCTAAATGTTCTTTTCAAGATAATACGGAGACACAAAGAACAGCACAAAGAACACTAACTACTGTAATTAAATGAGAACATTGGTTGAGATAGGCACATGTGCACCGGCTAAAGTAATAATTTCGTGCTCGATTTTCGTCGTGAGCTTGACAACAACTGAACAAAATATACGTTGATGATGAACTGTGATCGCTCTAAAAAATGCACAACATGAATGGTTTGACGATTTCGACACCATAAGTAGATAGCAGTCTTGTAATCCGTCATGCATCAATTGCGCCAAAGAGTCCCTATGCGCTAAGCCCTCAATGGGTCCCAAAAATGTTCCTTAGTTGCGCCAAGCCCAAGCCAGGTAGGGGTGAGTTCCCGGCAGAAGAACCTAACCTAACCTAACCTATCGTATCCTAACCTAAACTAACCCACTCAATTATACAGTCAAAGAGGGCCGTTACTTGGAACAGGTAAGAAGCATATCGCGTGGCTCCCTGTATTAGTTGGCGCAATTCAGGAATACCCGACTACCTGACTCAGATCAGTCAGTGCAATTAATGCACGCCCTATATATTGAGTAAAGAAGTGTGAAATAATAAAATTCGAGTACAAATGATTTTTCACTCACAGTATTTTTCTTCAGCCGACAGTCCATCGATGGATTTCTGAATGTCAGGAGAGAGGGTACCACTTTGAGAAGTCTTCCAGTTAGTCAGAGACAGGACTGCGGTGCCTAGAAGAGTGATCAGGGAGAGAGTCACTAGAGCAGAGATCAGGTAGCACCATCTCCGGGACAATCCTTCCACATCCTCCTTGGTACCTAGGAACATCAAATGGCTTTAGTGGAGAAGCTCTCTAACATATGTAAGTACATGTGTAACATGTGTAAGTACCTGAGTTTGTTCAATGCAAAATGTTGTTTTGGATACCTATGTTGGACTATATGTTATTCTTTGGTCGCTGGACTAACCCTTGTAGTCATATTTTATGTTCAGAAATTGATCTGTCGCTTCATTTGAAGGTTGTCAGTGCAATTTATTAGTTAAACACACGAACACGGTATTATTTTATACTATTTTATAATATTTACCGATTTTTAAAATTTTGTTATTTGTTGCCTTAAAAATATTCGTATTTTATATGTTGTGTACGTATGTAAGTAGTTTGATATTAGTATCGATAATTTTCAAATAAATCGATAGCACACCTTTCAAGAAGCTTAAATATGACTAAATAGGTTTCTCGGAACCGGTTATAACAACATTTTGGGTTGCACAACTTTCACAATGTTTATAGTATTGAAATGCAATCCGGACGCAATGGCAATTACACGTTTTATTCACCTAAAAATCTCTTGTTACTTCCCTTGTTGTAGACAGATGGAATTACAGCTTAGTGTGGATTCAGAACTACTAGTCTAAACCAATATACCAACGACGCCCAGTATGTATATTTCATTTTTATTTATTTTTGTGTCTCATCACAAAAATGTCATTTCTTGAGTTTTACATACGATATGGTTGTACAAGGTGCTTGTAAAGAAACCTGACCAAAATCTGAGTGTTTCGGTAAAACATATATATTTATGTGTCATCAATATCTACTAATTTATGTCCTCTATACAGTACCCTATGTTGAACGATTCGTGTTTACTTATTGCATTTAAATATATGTTTTTTTCTCTAACCAACATTTAAATAAGCGTTAGTATAGGCAGTCACAGTATGTTAAAAAATCCATCAGTGCCACTTCATATTTCGTTCTTTATAGCCTTATAAGTATACCTCAGTCGAAAGAAACAAACTTTTATCTAACTGAGTGTGCGGTTTGATTTTGTTTCTAGAACTAATGGTGGATGTGTAACTATTTAACTCAACAGATTTAAACAGCAATATTTTCTTTTGCAACGCAAGGGTACGCAGCTAGCACAGCACAGCTAGTTTGTCTAGTCACCATTTCAGTTAAAAGTATTAAATTAATCTATAAGTATAAAAGAGGATGTTTGTATATATATATATTTGTTTGGCAGTGATAAACTCAGACACCGCTGAACCGATTGCCACGAAACTTGGTACATACGTGTAGAATTTCATGGAATAGGTTTATACACCATCAATTTCGTGATCCGTCCAATCGGCTCCGCCCCAGTGGCTCTGGAGTTTCCCATGTTAACCTTATGAGAAATGGAATTAATGAATCTTAACAGCTGTTTCAATTAAACAAGTTGGTTCTGTTCTATGATGTTCAATAGCATTAAAGTTAAAAGGATTACCAACAGGGTGCGGTGCAGCACTATTATTTCTTTTACATTTATGACAACAGCTAATTTGCAACCAAAAGGTGAGTGGGCGTAGCGAACGAACTTCAACCTGGAGGCGAGTTAGCGTAGCGAACGAGCTAACCTGAAGGCAAGTGAACGTAGCGAACGAGCTCCAACCTAAAGGTGAGTGAGCGTACCGAACGAGCTCCAACCTAAAGGTGAGTGAGCGTAGCGAACGAACTTCAACCAGGACGTGATTGAGCCATGCGAACGAGATCATCTTGAAAATTAAGAAGTTAAACGGGGCAAAGCCCGTGGGTTACAGCTAGTGTAAGTATAAAAGAGGATGTTTGTATATATATATATATTTGTTTGTTTGGCAGTGATAAACTCAGACACCGCTGAACCGATTGCCACGAAACTTGCTACATACGTGTAGAATGTCATGGAATAGGTTTATACACCATCAATTTCGTGATCCGTCCAATCGGCTCCGCCCCAGTGGCTCTGGAGTTTCCCATGTTAACCTTATGAGAAATGGAATTAATGAATCTTAACAGCTGTTTCAATTAAACAAGTTGGTTCTGTTCTATGATGTTCAATAGCATTAAAGTTAAAAGGATTACCAACAGGGTGCAGCACTATTATTTCTTTTACATTCATGACAACAGCTAATTTGCAACTAAAAGGTGAGTAAGGTAGCGAACGAACTTCAACCTGGAGGCGAGTTAGCGTAGCGAACGAGCTAACCTGAAGGCAAGTGAGCGTAGCGAACGAGCTAACCCGAAGGCAAGTGAGCGCAGCGAACGAGCTCCAACCTAAAGGTGAGTGAGCGTAGTGAACGAGCTCCGACCTAAAGGTGAGTGAGCGTAGCGAACGAACTTCAACCAGGACGTGATTGAGCCATGCGAACGAGATCATCTTGAAAATTAAGAAGTTCAACGGGGCAAAGCCCGCGGGTTACAGCTAGTTATTCTATACAGCAAGAAAAGGTTAACGCTGGATACACAATACCAAAGGTTGGACCGACCACTTACTAAAAAATAATACTCCCGCCACAACAAACCTGCAGACTAGAGAATTTCAATTTGCCTGTTATTGGTATGAAATACATGAATTCACCAAATTCGAACAAAATAAATACACGAACAAACGAACTACAATAGTTTGCCGATTTTCCATAAGAATACAATGGGAATTTTAATTTTCATTTTATTTTAATTTTTCCATAACCATACAGCAACGTTTCAATATATCAAATCAATTTCTAAGCTCTACAAAATGGTTTGTAAAGAAATGGTGAATTATTAACTTTCGTTTTGAGGGTCTAAAATGGGAAACCCTAATTTTTACCCCATATAACTCCCCAAAATCCCCAGTCCTGTAGTCCGATCATGCTGGTTCGCGAACTCAAAAAATTATCAAACTTTGAGGTTAAATCATGTTTGTGTATTATAATCCATAATATTGACTGTCGTGATTGTTGAAATAAATGCTTGTCAGACTTAGATAGCTACTTTAGTGCTTCTGCGAATCGCAAGTGATAACAGAGTCAAGGTCACGGATAAGTGTGAACAAAGGTGGCGCGAAACACAAACAGTTCACAAACACTAAAATGTACTAAAAGTACCATCGTATGTACTAAAAGAGAGGAGGGGAATACTTCTTCAGGGCATTGGAAGTTAGGGGAAAATTAGTGGAAACGCCATCTTTTTTAGCTATTACAGCTGCTTTGGAACAGTTAACAACTATTGATTTAGCATTAAAAAATATCATATAGCGATCACTGTTTGCAGAAAGTAACTTTTAATTCGTGAATTAACATAAGTATGTTCAGGATATATACTTACTTAATACATATTATAATAACATGTATCGCCTATTTATTATTTAATTATGTTTGAGAATATTAAACAAGTATCATTATTAAATATTTATAACGCTAGGCTAGACCATAGATGATTGTCTTTTTCACAGCACAAAGGTCAAACAAAGTTCATTGATAAGGGTAGATAAACACTTTCTTGTGTGTCTTACATCCTATCTATGTCGAGGCGAATATTTAAATATTTAATTTAGTGACATACCTCTCATCACAATAATATAACAATTACCCATTATTATAGAGGTTGGATTATAACGTAGAAATACAGTTTTATAAAACAACTTTAGGCGTAGCCCTAAAAAATCATATTAAGTAGTTACTTTCTATGTAGACATTGTGTTATCATCATTTAAAGAGGAAAATTAGCAAAATATCAACTGAACACACAAGCTATGAGGAAAGAGACATTTCTGTGAATAGCATATAGTGTGGAAGATTAAGCTAGTTTGGAATAAAGTAGGTACATCTAAGGTAAACTAATTCACCGAATGAGTGTGCAACATAAAAATACAGCTTTCTCATCCAGAAAAAACCAAAACAATTTTACTTAATTCATTTCAGTTTTAGTATCTTTTGTGCCACTGCTAACCATTATAGTATGAAACACAACTTCAGTAATAGCATACTCTATGAGAAGCTCCCACAATTATGTCCCTTCAGTAAAAAACTGGTTGGTAAAGATTATATGCCTACGTCAGTATTTAAACTTAATGGAGTTTATGCCATAGTAATTAAAATATCAAATACGTTAATTTGTGATTTCAAATTTTATCCCAAGTTTAGGTAACAATATTTTTCACTTTTGAAATATTTTTAGACTCCAATGAACTAATGAAGTATTAAACCATATTAAACCTAACTTATTTTCGTCTACTAATAAATGCACTATATTTTATGGTAGAATTCTTGCCTTTTCACGTTTTAATCAGTGGCGTATCATAAAGTGTTACTGACATTTGATAGTTTATAGCTGAAAAAGTGTATGGCAATTTCTATAGTTCTATTAAATATCTATAAAGTTTTCTTACGAATATAATAGCAAAATAAATAATAATTGCATCTTCTTTATCTTCTCTATGTACCTGTAACAACAGTATGTCTTGATATTTTATGTTTTAGTATTTTACAATCTCATAAACACTTGAAGTCAATATATCGAGATAAAGATTTCTTGATGAGAAGAGAAGATCAACGAAACAGCATTTCCATGTATTTATACAGAGTGGATCGAAGTTAGCTTTAACTTAACACAGTTTTAATGTGTTAAACTACTTAGTATTATTGGTGACAAAATGGCACTAGTTTAGATTTTCTCACAGGTAACAGACTAATTGAAATCTTTTAAAAATATTTCTATTTGCTCACATAAAATGGCTATAGGTCACACATTGTTTTTATTTAGAATTTATTGTCATTTTTAGAATCCTCATTAAACTTCCAATTGTAATAGTACAGAGTCATTGAGATGAAACATCTGTATACGTCTTTATTCTGCAATGGAAGTTTAAAAGTTTGAATTTGGGTGTTTTGATAAAAATGCAAAAAACTTAACATAAGTTTTCCTATGCGGAACTGGACTAAATAGTGTAAAATGTTACTAAAACATCTCCAGTTAAACAACTTAAAATTATTATTTTAAAAACCCTACTGTTTATTTTATTTTTCATCCTTAAAATTATGAGTTTCTCTTGAAAAACAGGGAATGGTCAAAATCGCATTACTTTAAAATAACATGTATTTGCTTAAATAATATGGCAATAGCTGCATTAAACATTATGTTTGAATAGGGTTTATTGTAATTTTTAGAATTATTGTGAGATTTATTATAAGAATATTAAGGGCCTATTAATATTTTTGCGCATGTCTAATATTATTGAAATTGTAAAAACGATAGTCACTCTGTTTGTCTAGAAATGTTATAAGTCTACGAGGACCAACGGATAACTCTAGTTTAGCTCAACATTATAACATTCTATAATAGAGGGTATAGACATCTACTCTTATAATCTATGGTTCTATAGAATCCACTGATAAAGTATTTATCTGTGGTAAAAGTAGGTTTTACACTGTCGTGATAGAAGCTAGATATAACACAAGTGGTCATTGTTGTGGATGAGATAAAATCACAATCACTCTCAGCTTCCAGGATGAAGATATCGTTTTTAAACTATCTCAGTCTGTTTTGATAATGTTTGTATCGTTCTAGAAATGTTTATCAAGTTAATGGAAAACCAATTAAATCTAAGTGACACTTTTGTACTTAAATCAATACAGTGATTGATGTTGGAGAGTGTAAAGTCTATAATGCATGTTTTATGCGCGTTTAAGCATAGAATATAATTTATTCTGTAGTTTATTCAACGATATATTTTCCTCAAATTGTAGTGTAGGCCTAAGTCAGAGAACAAGCTTATAATAGATTACAAAAGGGCAAGTATTAAGTTTATAAGTATAGTTTTATATCGTTGGACAAGTGTTGGGTGAAATACAGTTAAAGGAAATTTAGTAAACATCCCAACACACTCTCCGACTCACGTCAGAAACGTAGGCTAAAACAGTCCTCATTCAATCCATGAGATATTCTAAGGAAGTATTGTGTTTCGAAGGTTCAACTCAAGCACACAAAACTAGTATAGTGGTAATGTCGCTATTAAAAAATAACATAAAAAGCTCAAATAAACAATGAGTATAGGTCTTACAAAATGCTATCTTTGTTCATAATGCACCAGTCAAACCGTTACCCTATTTAAAACAAACCAATCCTGCGTGGTACTGATACAAATTTAAAAATCCAAGCACCATGGTCTTGCATAAAAAAGAGACATATTTTATTACTTACAAAAATATTACATGTTTACACGAAGAGTGGTTCGCTATCAATAAATGCTACTATTGAAATATTTACACAACGTTCGTCTGATGGATCTAGCAAAAAATGAGTCAAAACAAAGACATTTAAAATGAAATACAAGTATAAATATACCACTTCACTGAACCAAGTTTTTCCCTTCACCTTCATTGACATTCATCTTGCTTATAGAGTTTTTGAAGGTTTATGCTATAATTAGTCAAAACTTGGTACTAAATTGTCGTCATCATAACGAATCCAACATAAACTCACCATTCAACTTATACGAGCTATTGTAATCAGGTATGAACGTCTTGACGGTCTCTGACTTGATTTTGACGGCGTCGGTGACGAGATCGTTGACGTCAGCATCTCCGTCAAGTCCGTGATTGATGAAGAAGTTGAGTGTTGTTTTCCTCAAGGTGCCATTAAGTACTCCTGGAGCATCGGCGTTTTTGTCCACCAGTATTTGCCCCACGTTCACCGTGGTCTGGTCAAGTAAGAATAGAGAGGGAGTTAAAGGTCTGCGGTAGTATGTTTAGGTTGAGTTTAGACAGGATGAGTTCGAGTTTAGAGAGGATAAGGTCGAGTTTAGAGAGGATGAGTTCGAGTTTAGAGAGGATGAGTTCGAGTTTAGAGAGAATGAGGATGAGTTTAGAGAGGATGAGTTCGAGTTAAGAGAGGATGAGTTCAAGTTTAGAGAGAACGAGGATGAGTTTAGAGAGCACAAGTTTGAATTTAGAGAGGATGAGGTCGGAATTTGAGAGATGAAGTGAGTTTAGAGAGGACGTGGTTGAGTTTAGAGAGAATGAGATCGAGTTTAGAGACGATAAGGTAAAGTTTAGAGAAGATGAGGTCGAGTTCAAAGATGATGAGGTCGAGTTTAGAAAATATGACGTCAAAATTAGAGAGGATGACGTCGAGTTTAGAAAGGATAAGGTCGAGATTCAAGTGATTCAAAATGAGTTCGTTGTTAATATTGAGAACGAAAGAGGTTTAAAGAAGGGATATATGAGTTAGAGGTTGAAGTTGAAGTTCAAGTTATTTTAAAGATGGGTTGGATGTTACAGTATTGCTGAAAGGAGATGAGGTTAAAGGCAGGGTGAATTATTGAGGTTGATTGAAATTCAAGATGAAGTGGGAAAATTAGTAAGATTTTACTGCCGATAACAGGGATGGGGTTAAAGCAGTATTTGAAGTTTAGGTTGAGAGGTTTTCAGAGGTCATAGTGTCAATTTATAAACACAACCGTTGTATAGAGGGATCAAGAGATGCCCACTATTCCTTATTTAACGTTTGATACTAAATGTATGAGTGGCTTAAAGCCCAAACAGTTCTGTTCAATGATTGATCTATGTTAAAATGTTTCAAGTTGACGACAATATAGGATGCACTAGAAACTATTCATATGGTAAGGGCTAGCATGAAAATAATTTACCTTTATTATATTTATACAATTCCTCATACATTTTGATTAGAGTTAAATGTAGTGTAAATTTATTTCCGAAATGTTATTTCTTTGCCATTAAAAATAAATGGATATTTTTTGTGTGTTTTCCACTCCAATGACATTTTTTACGATTTTAAAGGCAACTGTCCAAACCCTGGTCTTATTACAATTTTAACGTCAACCTTTTTGTTAGATAGCATAATTAATTCATAGTCAAATGACAAAATGGCGTCTGGGTCTGGAAACGACCTCGCTTGGATTCAAACCAGCGACCTTTAGATTTTAAGGCGAGAACTATAAGCACTCGGATACCCAGACAAGTACGGTTTAATATTTTTCGTATTCACAAAACATTCACTAGTTAAGCAAATGGATACAACATATAATTTCTTTGTTTTAAACAGGGAACGTAATACATCCTTGACTCTATGACCTCCGATAACCCCCACATCACCCAACATTAGACAATGGATACAAGCAGACATCCCATTCCTATAACATTGTAGCTGTTTTTTTTTTAATAAAAGTGAATGTTGTCAAATTGAGAGAGTAAGGTAAATTACGAAGTTCTTAAACAATTTAAACTTTTTAGCAAAGACAATTTTAATGGGTCCACCTTATTGTTGGGCAAAGCATCTGTTATGTCACGTGAAAAATTACAGTAAAAAATACTCCTGTCGCAAACCTGCAGACTAAGCGAATATATCTAATATTTACTTTAAAAATGTATTGGATGTTCGACCTATCAAAATAATATCAGGTTTAACAAGCATTAAGTGTGCTGCTACAGAGAAGGAATAAATTGTATTTTGGTATGGTGTTAATAGATAAACAAAATAGTTATTATATAATGTATTAATTAAAGTGGAAAGATTTTATCCAAATATAAAAACAATGTAATAAACAAGAAAACTAAATAGTTTACTTATCCATAATACTTTTTTCCTTCACTGTAGAAGCATACCTAAGTACTTGTACCTATTTTGATTTAAAAAGGGGATGAATATGAAAAAGATTGGTAAAGAAATACTCTAGCGAAAATACAATAAGGCAAATATAAATTCGCTTATTCTGCAGGTTTGCTGCGATGGGGGCATTTTGCTAATTGTGATAGGAAAATTCCCATTTATCTCTTAAATAATAGAATCTAGACTGTACATTCCGGGTGGCTCATTATGTTATTAGCTACAGCTGGTCCAATTAGGGATGTCTACTATCCAAAAAGTGTCTTGTGCTACCTGAGACTTGGGCGAGGACCGTCTCAGAGGTGCCACTTTGGCTTCTTCATCAGAACAATCACTGGAGGTGCTGACTACGGAACTGGTGGACACCAGGCTAGGCCTAGGACTTGACATCACTGATCTGATCACATCTCACTGACACTGACTCACTAACACTCACTGACGCGATGTTACCACTGACACTCACTGAACTCGACTGAAGAATCGCCAAGCCAGAGAAGTGGGGGACATTACGTAAACAAGTCTGGTTCGCGTGGTTTTACCAACACTTTCCTCCTTCGTCGAAGAGGTATGGAAGGGGAATGGAGTTGCAATAGGTGTAGAAAAACGTAGTAGAACAGTATAATTATACAGTTTGAACGTGTAGCAAAGAAAGTAAAACACATGTATAAAAGGCAACGAATGCAGGAACAGGACAAAAAAATGAAGGAAAATACCCCAGCTTCAGCAAACCTGCAGAATGAGTCAATTTTCATTTGCCCCATTTGATTATCAATTAATTCTCTTTAAATAACATTAGGTTTAACGAGTACCTATACACTATATAGGTTATTCTACAGATACCTATGTTCTCTTTTCGGTATTTCTGAACTTTCTGGACTTTTCTTAAACGTTTTTTTAAACATTCCTACGATCTTAATAAACAAGATAATACCTTTAAAGCATGTTTTTAGGCGCGGAAACCACTGCAAATTACAAAAACATACGAAACTATTTTCTCAAGTTGCAGAGCACATTGCTTGCCGAGGAAAAAATAACGAAATGATACGGACCAGGGGCTACTTTCTCTAGGGCACCTATTTGTGTTGCCAGCTGAACCTAAAAACGTGTTGTATAGTGTTTGAAAGACTAATTATTTATATGCTTTATAGTGACTGTAGGAAAAATATAATGTGTAACATGAGTGCAAAAGGTCTTTGCTGCACTCGAGAAACCTTTCACACTCGTCTACGGATCGTGCCTAAACATTTCTCTCGTGTGCTGCAAAGTGCCATGTTTTACCACAGTTCCAGGTGCATCAGAACTAATGTTAACTAACAGAGGTCAAATCCAGATTTGGATATTAACATGCGTGATACTTCAGTGCATGATTTCGTTAGCATTTTAATATCTTTCGACAATGAGATATAAACAATTATTATCAAATATCTTTTGTTTTATTCCAAGTAATTCCAGCTTTTACATGCACATTGCACACATGTAAAAAAACTTAGTACAATAAAATGTACAGTAGTTTATTTTACGGTTGTAAAAAACAAAAAGCAATAAAACCTGTAAACGCTGCAGTAATCTCCTAAAAACCTTTGGAAAAACACGTTAGTACTATAATGATTTAAATATTAAAAGTATGCATTTGAAATGATGATATTAATAGGTTATGAATTTATTGAACAAGGTTTGCTTGTGTAAAAACACGGCATGTAAACAAACTCTATAAGTCCCTGTGTTTGCTTGTTTATAAACTAGTTAATTAAATTAATGGTGATCTTATAGAAATGAAAGTTTGAATTTTACACTGTGCTAGTATTGCCACGAGCTCACTTAGGCAGCAACGTTCGCTATTAAATCTATCTGGAGAAACTGAATTTCTTATTTGGCATTACTCCACAATATTAGATACATATCCCAATGTTCATGATATAATTCCTTGATTTTTATTTACTTTACTAGGCCTATAAAATAGTTGAATTTGTGACTTCTTTGGAATATTAAAGTCTTCTTTTGTTGTTATTTTTTAACGCCTTCAATGGGTAAAGTCCTTGCGGTGTTGAAGTCAGCATTTTGCAGTTGAAGGATTCTCATTGCGCAACTATTGGTCAAAGTTTGAAGAAAAACGTTTTAGTTTGTTTGTACAGAGTGTTTTTTTAAAAAACGCAACCTATATTAATAGTAGGCTACTGTGGTGCTGTAAGACATTTTATTGATACAAGAAGTTTATGTGTTGGTATTTTGTTTTTTTGACTTCACTGCCGATACATACGCGTAGTTGCATATTTGTCTCAAGGTTTAGTGTTGCCGTATTGGAAATTTTGTAAATAAGACTCAACATGGTGTTTATCCTATAAGAGTCATAAACATCAAAAGTAAATCATTGGTTTTGTACAATCTAGATTTCTATTATTGGGTACCGGAATCACATCTGAAAGTTAATTTTAAACCTTTCCTTGCACAAAATCAATGTTTTTATTTCAAACTTTTTCTTTTATTGATATTGATATATTAATGTATATTTATTCTAGTAATGTAGAAAAAAAGTAACCGACCTTGAGGTAAATAAAAGTTGTATCACTGTTGGAGGTTTATACCCCGGCCTTACTTAAAATTGTTCGAAAAAACTTGATCGGTATCAGGTCGGGTTTAATAGAAGGGGGATTAAAAATAGGCTTTAGGTTTTCATATTACAGCAAAAATTAGGAAACATGATACATTTTTTACACATACCGTTGTAATAAAACTTTACGTGCTGATAATTTCTATGACAAAAAATTTCGGAATGAATTTTCAAATAATCAGATAATTCACTGTTATTTTTATTTACCTAAAGGTTTGCTCGGTGTTCTATGTACTTTATGTGTAGTTCATGAACAATCTTTTTGGAAAGGGATCCACCATTGATAACATTTGCATTATGCCTGAAGTAGTTAAAAAAAACTATTCAACTTTCGCAATAGAAAAATATTTATAATTTTCTAAGAAATTTAACTATCAAATGAAAGAAAATGTCTTAAAATTAATAAACTATTTTTTCAGTCATGATATTACATAATTGCATGTTAGTAGGCCTATGCGCATCTCTCACGACTATAGACCACAAAATGACGTCTACCTCGTCCTAATTACAAATGACAAGAAAAGAGATCCTTTACAGCGAAATGAAACTTAACTACCCGGATGTAGGTTTGGAAATACCTGATGGCAACATTACAAAAATCATGTAATTACACTTGGGGACATTATTTAATCACACAATACTTCACACATGAGAAACGTGGATACTATTGGTTTTAGCTGGCACCTTTTACAAATCATTGATTGCTTTTACAGATATTTGAAGCTAAATGTATTTCGGTAAAATATATTTCACATTATTTGAGTTGGTTAATTGGACTTATATGTTCAGGCTTCTTTGATTTGTAAGCGTTAAATGTTTTATTCAATTTATTTTGTAAATATTTGTTTTGTAGATACTTAAATTTACCTTTATAAGATATTAAACCCTTTAGTACAGATTTTCATCATCCTGCTGCAACATAGTAGTAATCTTTGCGTCGATAAAGTAGTACTTTATAGAACACTTTGATTGTTATTGATGGTGTGATTGTTGATTTTCAGCTATGTGGTAAACTTTGATTGTCGAAGTAAAGGTTTTTTGTGAATGTGTTTGCATGATGTTATTTACATCGTGTTTAGATACTTTTTAGATCACAGAGAAATGCATTTTATACCAGTTTTTAACGGAGAATAAGTGATTAGGTGAACGGGGATCATGCGGCTTTGCTGCTTATGAGCTTATCGATTGTTCATACGAGCTGCAGGCGAGTGTGGACAGTTTCTCGAGTGCAGCACTCTTTGCACTCGCGTTACACATTATATTTGTCCAACAGTTACCATAAAGCACATAAATAATTAGTCTTACTAACACTATATAACACTTTTTGGGTTAGGTTAAATAATTGACTTTATATCTACGTAGATATAAAGTCAATGGTTAAATCCAAGCGTTGAATGAAATGCACCAACTTATTTCCAAGCGTACACATATTACGTGCCTAATAAAATCTCATTTCACTTTTACCGCACTCATTTTTTTTTGCTGCACACCAGTATTCCAACCAAACAACACAAACAGCGTGCTTTTATTATGCACGTAATCCGTGTACGCTTGGAAATAGGTTGGCAACACATAAAGATACTACGACTACGATCTGCTGGTGCACGTCGTTCAACGCTTGGATTTAACCTAACCTAAAACGTGTGGTTTACTGTTTAAAAGACTAATTATTTCTATGCGTTATAGTAACTGTAGGGAAAATATAATATGTAATACGAGTGCAAAGTGCCCTTGCTGCACTCAAGAAACTTTCTCTCGTGTGCAGCAAAGTGCTACTATGCACACTAGTTACACAAATAACGATTTCAAATTATATTTTTATTTGTATTGCAAAACAGTATTTGTACACACACGTAAAGCATGTTGATATTTTATGTAATTCGTCGTCAAATGTATACTAGTTTAATAATACAATATTAACAAAATCTTGGTTCAAGTTTAATTATAGAAATCTTTTAACTTTTCACTCGAAAGTTGAAACTGATGTCCTTGAAACTCATTTAGAATTGTTAAAACTTTGATCGTAAAAAGCTTATCGTCACGAAATATAAATATACTCTTTGTACCTAACAAGAGGTGTATTGCGTTCATATATGTTGCGATAGAGCATAGGTCGTGATCAAATTTTACAATCAGTACCTTGATACATGATATTATTTGGAACTAAAAAAATTTACTGATTATTGTTTATAACATTCAGACAACATACTGAGTTGTCAATAAAGTATCGGAATTTATACTATTGTTTTCACAACCAATTATTATAGGTTTTGGTTACTTTATGTGTAGGTACCAAACAAATCATTTGTGTTAACAGTAATGCAAAAGGTAAGATAAGAATATGTAGCTGTTTGAAAATGTATCCTAAACTTACACAAGTAATACAAAACTCAGGTGTGCTGTTGTGATTCTTATGTATTTCAATTACACATATTTTCAGTACACATCTATTCAGAATAAAATTGGTAGGGGAAACTGTGTATAGAAAAATACAACTAAAAAGAACTAATTCGTAAAGAATAAAAAAACCGACGGGAAAATTGATGCACAAAATATTAAATAACCACATATCCACTATGATCACAAATTGTTAGCACAAGCTTCGTAGTTTAAAATACATTAATCTTCAAACCGTTTCACCAAATCCCCCAACGTGTATTACCGTTTGTTTTACAGTTGTACAAAGACTTAAGTTAACTTTGAACTTAAGAATTAAGTTCAAACGTAACTTGTAAGGGATATACAATTTTAAACAAAAACAAATACGAACACTTAGTGCATTAGGTACATCAATGTGTCGTGAAAAAAGGTTCTGAGTTAATTGGACGACGTAAACGACAACATAAGTGAAACTTTTAC